GCCGTCATGGCCAGGCTGCGGGCCCGGCGGCGAAGGCCGCGCAGCGTGGCCAGCTCCTCGCTGCCCAGCTGGCCGCCACGCAGCAGAACGGCCAGCTTGAGCATCACCTTGACCAGGTTCTTGACCACCTTCTGGGCCTCCCTGCGGCTCCGCGTGAACTCCTTGGTGGCCCGGTACAGCTCGTCCAGCACCTCGCTGCTCGCGTCGTCCAGGAGCGCGCCCGCCACCGCCTTGGACGCCAACCTGCTCACCAGCTTCTTCTGCGCCTGTAGAGCCAGGCTCTTGGAGCTGAAGGCATCCATGGGGCCTGCGGGGACAGCCATGGGCCATCAGTCCCGGGAGGACCCCGACCGCCGCCACCACCACCACCACCACCGGCCCCGTACAGCACCCTTTGGGGGCTGCTGCCTCTGCCTTTACCACCTGCGAAATGGGCACACACAGGCGCCTGTGCCCTCAGCCACTCCACGAGGATGAGGAGGCCTGAAACGCTGGGCTGCTGACTGAGAGGTTAGCGGTTCAGACCCACCCAAGGCTCCCATCTGCTCCCAGAGAGACGGCCTGGGAAGCCCGGGTCGGCCCCACTCTGTCACACAGGGTCGCTGTGAGTCGGCATCAGCTGGTGGCACAGGTGGTTAAGCGCTCTGCATGGCTAGCAGAAAAGGCGGGCAGTTTGAACCTACTCCACGGTGCCTCGGAAGAAAGGCCCGGTGACCTGTTTCTGGGGGATCACAGCCCTAAACACTCCATGGAGCCCAGTTCTCTGCACACAAGAGGTCCAGCAAGCCTGTCCCACAGGCCACCATAAAGCACCCACTGTACCTGGCCCCCAGGGGGAGCAGAGCAGTGACGGCCGGGCCAGGGAGTTCCCTCAGAACATCTGGCAAATGCACAATCTGAGTGTCACTGCAGGCCAGCAGTAGGGTGGGGCAAGAGGCAGAATTGGGCCCCCGAGGGTAAGCAGGCTGTTTACAGGAAGAGCTTCCTGGGGCTGGAGCACAGAGCAGAAGGTCAGGGACCCAAAGACAGATCATGGGGAGGGGAGGGGTCCTAGGGTCTCTGGGCGTCCTGGACCCGCCCTCCTGCCCTCTCCATGTAATCGATGCCAGTTGGCCAGCGGCCCTGAGGACCCCAGGCCCTTGCTGACCCCTCACCAGGCCCCTGCTCGGCCCCAGAGGGAGGGCTCGTGGATGGCTCCCCTCTGAACATTCAAATAGAGTTCTTGGGTCCTTTTGGTAAATGAGGTGTTTCCAGAATGTTCTGCCTCTCATGGTTCCATCTACCTGGCTCCCCTTACCATCCTTCCAGTCCTCACCCAGCAAACTCCTGCTCACCCTGCAGGTCTCAGCATCTCCATCCGTCTCCTGGTGAACTCCTATACATCCCCCGAGGCCCTGGTCCCCGAGCCCCTGCCTCATCCCTGGTGAACCTCTGCTGGTTCCCTTCAGCACAGCCTGGACATTGCATCCTCTAGTTCCCAAGCTATGAAAGAGGCAACTCTCTACTCCGCACCCCGTTCCCAGGCCTCCCTGCCACCCCATTTACCCCCCCTTCCCCCCGCCCCCCCAATTCTGCACGTGCCTCACTCCGAGCCCCAGGGACCTGCTTCCCTGAGTGCTGTGTCCACAGAGACCCAGAGAGACCTGCCAGGGAGTGAGGGGAGAGCCTGCGGGAGCCCCGAACAAAGGGGCCAGCTTGGGACAGCCCCCTCACCTACCACCCTCAGCCCGGCCCCCGCCCGGACAGGCCAGAAATGCCCCGTGGGCACACAGTCACCCCTAGAGGTGCCCACAAAGCCGGGCTTTGTGTCCACTCAGCCTTGAGGGAGAAGTCCCAGCTGCTGGCCGCCTGCTGGCCTGCCTCAGAGGTCAGGGTGGGCGGCCTGGCCCGGCCCCCTCCCAGCCGCAGAGCCCACCCTGCACAGGCCTGGCAGCCCCCCGCCAGCAGCCCTGCTCTGTAGTCATCACACCCACGAGCTGAGAGAGGCCGGGCCGCTTCCCCAAGGCCACTCAGCAACAGGGCACAGAGCCAGACCTTGAACCCAGTCCTGCCCCAGGACTCCTCCCCCCACGCCATCCTGGGGGGCACCGAAGATCCCCCTGCCTTCCACACCTGAAACCTCAGAGCCACTCAAGTCCCTCCCCGCCTAGAGCAGCAGGCTCTGGCTCCTTGGACAAGCAGCATGCCACCCCCTGGCTCAGTTTCCTCATCGGTCAGTTGCCAGGGACCCACATCCGACCTCCGCAACTCGCCTCTCTTAGGACCCAGCTCTGGGAGGCACTGAGAACCTGTGCCAGCCGCTGGGGGCATTCAGTCACTGTGCACCTGCCCAGACCTCTCCTCCATCAGTCCTCATCACCTGCCAAACTCCTGCACGGCCTCCACCTCCTGGGGCCCTCCCGCAGGCTGAGACTGAGCCAGGCGCCCCTGCTCCTGTCCTTGTCCTGGGCACAGGGCGGCAGGGGCTGCCTCTGTCGTGCTCACACCTGTCCTGGTGCCCTGACAGCCCCTGGAACACAGGACCCTCCCTGGCGCCATCAAGCAGGTTCTGACTCACAGCCACCTCAAAGGGCGGCGCAAAACTGCCCCTGGGAGTTTCCGAGAGGATAACTTTGGTTTTTTTTTTACTCTTCATTCCCTTTTCTTTCTTTTTTAAAAACCATTTTATTGGGGCTCAGACAACTCTTATCACAATCCATACATACATCAATTGTGTAAAGCACATTTGTACATTCATTGCCCTCATCATTCTCAAAACATTTGCTCGCCACTTAAGCCCCTGGCATGAGCTCCTCATTTTTCCCCTCCCTCCCTCACGAACCCTTGATAATTTATAAATTATTTTGTCATATCTTGCCCTGTCCGACATCTCCCTTCACCCACTTTTCTGCTGTCCGTCCCCCAGGGAGGAGGTCACATGTAGATAGATCCTTGTAGTCGGTTCCCCCTTTCCAACCCACCCTCCCTCTACGCTCCCAGTATCACCTCTCACACCACTGGTCCTGAAGGGATCATCCAACCTCGATTCCCTGTGTTTCCAGTTCCTATCTGTACCAGCGTACATCCTCTGGTCTAGCCAGACTTGAAAGGTAGAATTGGGATCACGATAGTGGGGGTGGGGGGAGCATTTAGGAACTAGAGGAAAGTTGTATGTTTCATCGTTGCTACACTGCACCCTGACTGAGCATGACATTTTACAGGAGCAGAAAGCCTCATCTTTCTGCCTCGGTGCTGCTGGTGGCTCTTCACCACTGGTGAACAGCCCAGGGCTCCCGGGGAGGCAGCGGGGGCTTCCTGCGTAAGTGCTTCCTGAATGCAATGGGATGGCCTGTCTGCAGACATCAGACGGCTCAGTGCTGCCTGTCCCTTTCACAGTGAGCTCACTGAGGCTCCGAGAGGTGTGGCCGGATGCCCTGGAGGCCCGGCACTGCCAGAGGCCACAACTCTCCAGCCAGCTGGGCTCCCTGTGACCCAGCAGGACTTGGCTCCTCTCCAGGCTGAGACCTCCCCACCTGCGGGGACTGAGGGTCGCCGGCTGCAGCCTGTTTACAGACTGCGGGAGAGGGCCTGGGCTCCCAGCTGCCTCCCCAACTGCAAGCCTGGCAGGAAGAGGGGGGTTCTACCTGCCTCCGTGGGCCCCAGAACTGCCCACACCTGGGCCAGCCCAGCTGTGTGACCTCCGGCCCCTTCTCCTGACCCATTGTTCAGCCAGAAACCCCCACAGCGAAGCCGTCCTTGAGCCAGTCACAGACGGATGGACAGACAGCCGGCCGGCCGAAAATAAACTCAGTTTCCTTCCTGCCTGCGTGCTGACCCCGGCCAGCCGGTGGCCAGGAGGCTGCTGTGCTGTGTCACCCAACCCCCCTGCCCCCTGGACCCCATCTCTGGGCCCTGCCCCCAATCCCGGGGCACCCCAATGCTGCCATGAGCCAAAAAGCCAAACTCGCCGCCATCTGCCTGGAGGGCTCTGGGCAGAGGGGTGCCCCTGACTCAGGTGCTCACGGGTGACCCCTGGCTGCCGAGGGGAGAACAGGCCCCACCCTCAGACCCACGCCCAAGCTCCTCCTCCCTGGTGCTCAGGGTGACGCCAAAGGTGCCTCCTCACTGAATGGGAGGTCCCGATCTACCCAGAGGTGCCGAGGAAGTAAGGGCTGGAGACTGACTTCTGACCCAGTCAGCGGTTGAAGACCCCGTGGAGCCCAGCCCAGCTCTGGCACCCGGGGACGGAGGTGGGGTGTCGCCGTGAGCTGGACTCCATTCACAGCAACTGGTTGTGCACCCCAGACATGGAGGGCATCACCACCCCAGACAGCCCCACGCCTGGCCCTCCCCTGCTCTTCCTGCCCCACACACTCATTCCCCAAACCCGGGGAGCCAGACTCCTGCCCTCGGTCAGCCCGAGTCACCTCCTGGACTCGGAACTTCAGAGCCATCCATCCCCCAAACGGTCTGTAAACACCACAGGCACCGAGGCCCTGCCCCTCACGCCGCTCCATCCCCACTGGCCTCCTCCCTGCTCCTCCTTCACACCAAGTCCTATCCTGTCCTGCCCCAGGGCCTTTGCAGGGCTGTGCCCTCTGCTGGGGGAGGGAGGGCACACGGTCCGTGCTCAGAGACCTCCTTTGACCCTGTACATGGAGACTCACTCCTGGAATGCTCATCCTTGGTGTAAAAAACTGAAATATTGACAAACCCAAGTCAGTGCCGCCGTCACCAAGTCCATGGCGACCTTACAGGGCAGGACAGGCCCTGTGGGTTTCCCAGACGGTCACTCCACGGGAGCAGAGAGCCCTGTCTCTCTGCCGTGGCGCTGATGAGGGTGGAAATGAGCTACCATTAATTTGCTCCCCCAAGCCCCTCACCGGACTCACGGGGACCCCCACGCACTGTGGGACCAAACGTTACCGGTCCTTCGAGCCCCCGTGACTAGCTTCGGACGGGATTGCCAGGGTCCACGGTTTCCAGAAGCAAATCATCAGGCCTTTCTTCCTAGTCTGCTGGGGTCCCTGTTGCACCCCACCCACATGCAGGCTGCCAGCTGGAGGGTCGGTGTCGTGGGGGCTGGAAGGTGGGGTGTGTGTGTGTGTGTGTGTGTGTGTGTGTGTGTGTGTCATGTGTGCTCTGGGGATTGTCGGCGTCTCTCTGGTGGAATATCCCGGTCGCTCGGACTCCCTGTTCTGGGGCCATCTGCATGTGGCCTGGCCTCTCTCCACACCCTCTCTCTGCTTCTCTCTCTCTCTCTCTCTCTCTTGCTTCATCTTTTTGACCCCGCCAAAGAGATGGACTCTGGATGCACCCCACT